AAAATGGGAGCAGCTGGAAGTGGCTTGCAAACCAGTCACTGTCCATTTGGCTGAGTCCCAGGAAGGTTTGGCATAGCTGATAACTGCATAGGATGTGTTTTACTTGGCCACGTCTCTATTGCAGATGCATTCCTGATGCTCATCTACCTTCTCTGAAAAACATTAAGTAATAGACTGAGTAGAAGACAGGGAGTAGAGAAATCTTAGATGATTTTAAAAGCCCTACTGAGTCTCTGAAATTTTTCTGATGGTTCTGTGCTTGCAGTTATTTCCATCTTCTAGTTGAATAAGAACTAGAAAATCCATAATGTTTTGTTCCCCATGCCTATTTTTTTTTTCAAGGAATACATGTTAATCAATAAAGAATGTATCCCCCACCTTTCATTACTTCAAGCCTCCTGCCATAGTCATATTCTCTTCTACACTAGGCATGAACAGTTCCACTGTCTCAAAATTATTTTATATATAATTTAAAGGAGCATGCTTTAGAATGACAAATGCCAGTAAGTTGAGAGGGTTTGTTCACCATAGGCTACAATCTCTTGCGACAGCTAACTACAGCTCTAATCTTCATTTGTACTCTCCCAGTCCTGTAACAGATTGCATTTCTCTCACCCTTTCTCTCTCCCTCTCTGTTATTAATTCTTCACCTTTAAAAAGATTAATACCTTTCAAGAAATGGACTTGTGTGCTGATTCAACTATTCTGAGTGCTAATATATGGAGCCCACAGCACTGAGAACAGCAGTTTGATATCCACCACCTGATGGACCTTGATGTACAGCCACTGTTATCTCAAGTTCTCATGGTTTGTGAAGCTTAACACTTAATGTACTTGTGTACAAAGGTGTTGCTAGTGGGAAAGATGCAATTACTTTTGGAGTTGAGAGAACTACAGGATAGTTTGAGATTAATCCTGCCTGCTAATTGTACATTTCAGCATTGAAGGGCTGACCTCAGTACCAGGATTTCTTGTTAGCAAAAAGGTTTTCAGTTGACTTACCTGGCAATCAACACAAATATAAGGTGTGATAAAAGGGAATATTTGAGCTAAGTCATAGAAATAGCAGCAATCACTTTATCACTATAATTCGTTCCATATCAGAATAGAAGATGATGTTGATTTCACGATTTATCGACAGCTCTTTTTCTCGTTACGTCATATCATCGCTGATGTTGAAGAAGTATCTTAAATGGTCTGCCACTGAACTCTTTCAAGGATGAGTTCAAAATCTTTATCTTTAAATGCTGATATTCAAATATCTTCTGGCAATCTAGCAGTCATGCAAGTAATCATTATCATTATTACTGATACCTAAGTTGTATAAAAATCTTTTGTTAAAAAAAAAAAACAACCAACCAACTGAACAACAACAAAAAAATTCTGCTGTTAATTACATGTACTGTTATTGCTCTTGCATGGTCTCCAGGAATTTCATTTTCTAAATAATTATATAACTTTTGAATGCTATGGTACTGCACTGTTAGTGCCTCAGGAAATGGCTTGTCTTATGGGCACAATTCCAGGATCATTTTAAAACAATATAAAGAGGATCCAAAAGAATGTGACTGCTCAGAGATCACCTTTTCTTTGGTATGTTCTATCTCTTTGTTCTCTTGAGTTGTCTTGCTACGTGTATTTTTCTCTCATTTATGTCTGTCCTTCATACCTCAGTTCTGATGCCTTGTATGAACTAGTACAGAAAAGACTTTCAGCTCTGTCCCATGTCCCACTGGATATGTACAGATAGATATTTTTAACTAACTGGCCTTAAAACGATGAGTCTTTCTGTACCACCAAGTTCCATGGTGTGTATGGTTGCCTGAGATTTAAGCAAGCATCCCTGAATATGGGAGATTTATTGAGTGCTGGATGATCATGGGTTGTATAAGTCTGACAACCAACACTGAATTCTGAGGTATAGATGTACTATATACTTCCAATTACATCAGATTTATTTTAAACATGAATTAGCTGGTGGATGTTGTGACTTAACTGCTCTTTTAACTGTTGCTTTAAAACATGTTTTTAAATCCTAGGCTGTACGTGACTGGATTTGATTTAGCACTTGGTCTTAAACCACAGTTCAGTTTTAAAGTGAGTCATTAATTGTGTTTTCTTCACAGTGACAGAGGATCTCAGATTGAAGTTGATTTGACAAATATTGTGGGCATTATATTTTTATAGCATGAAACTTTACCCTGTTGTCACTGAAGTCAGGAGTATCCATTGATTTTACTTGAAGAGTGGAAGCAGTCCTGTGACCAACAGGTCTGTAAGATAGCTTAACAGAAATAATTCCTGGGCAAGTAGCATTGTCCAAAATATTCTGGACGAAAGGAACCAATTGAGAAAGCATTTCAATGTTTTTTTTCTTGGTGATATAGTATGGCATATTTGATAAATGGGTATTATTACATGAGGTTTATGTGACTCAGGGTTGAAATGAGTTACAGACCTTAGAAATAAGCCAATATTGATACACCTCTAGAGAGAAAATATTGCCTTACTAACAGCTGGCATTTGTATTTTGCATGTCTGTGAAGTTGTGGATGCACATATCTATGAAAATAGAGTGTGTATAATTATGCACATGTGCAAGCTATGCTTCTAGTCTTTTGGGAAGATATCATCTTAAGGTCAGTAGAGGGGGTACTTACCTTTGCAAGACACTTGTCCATGCCTGCACTTTACTATGTCTTCTAGTACCTCTTGAAAGCATCTGCCTTGCTTCACTGCCTCTGGTAAAGATTTCAAAAGAAATTACTGTGGAATGGTAGGAAGTCCATTCTGGTCTGCATAGCTCCTTGTACAGAAATAATACAAAGTTTATCTGAGGCAATCAAATCTATTTTAAAGGATATGCAAGTCAGAAATAGTATTTGATGCACTTTTGTATCCAAAGCATTTATAGATACTACTTTTTTGTAATCCAGTTCATCATCCACTAAAGAGGGCCTGATTCTGATCCACCTTTGTTTTTTTTTCTTGGCATGGTTCTGAAACCAGCAGGTAGGAGATGCTCATGATAACGCTATCCTGCAGTTATGGGGAACTTGGGCCATAGGACTGGCTGGCAGTGAGGCTGTTTGTATGTCACCCTCCCTGAACATGCTCTGATTGAGATTTCCACAGGGCAGTGTGGCAGTCATGGCTCCTTAGTGCAGCCTAATACACCAAGGGAAGGTTCAGCTCTCCTGAGAACACATTGCAGGGTGATGGGGTGGACAAAAGGAGGAGAGATCAGGCTCCACAGTCCCTGTGTAAATGGGGAGAATCCTTATGCTTGTCCAGCAGCATGTCAACCCCTGGTTGGATGGCCAGGACAGCAAAGAGTTTCATCTCTGGCTTTTATCTCCCATGATCCCCACCATGCTGTTCCTTCCTTCCAGTCAGAAAGGGTTTATGTCTTGTCTTACAGGAAGCCATGTCACATTCTGTGGCATAGTGTATTTAGAACTCAAGTGAGGGCTGTGCTTCTTCCATCTGCTTTTATCTGAAAGGACAACTTGCAGTATTGCAAGCAAGCAGGCCAAATTCAGTCAGTCACGCATTGAGGAGTTTTTTCAGGAGTGTACAATAACAGGAAAAAACACCATTGTTCAGAGATGAGATAATAGCAAAGACACAAAGGACAGGTCACTGCTTTCTAACATTACTGAAAGATGTCTGTAAGAGTTTAAATGAATACATTATCCATAAAGCTGATTTCCCTCATCACTTTGCTGTGGATCTTCTAAGACCCTGATTGCTTTGCTACTTAACATGTTTAAGAATGAATCCCTTCAGTCACTGTTGTGTTTAGTTCACCTGAGGTTCCTAGAAGGCTGAGAGCTTGTGGAAGACAGTGCTCACTAAGTAGAAAGTACTGGCACCAGCTGATTGGCATAGTGGGGTGTCCACCTCCATGGTTGTATGCTGGATCACATCTTCATGCCTTCGCAGAAAGGCATCAGTGAGATTATGGGGAAATTATGTGGTATTCTAAATAATCACTGCAAGATAACAATTAGGAAATTCTAACTGGTTAATGACACCCAGCAGCCTATCTCCTGACAGATATACTGATATTTAAACAAATTAACTGTCTTTTCAGGTTGGTTTGCATAACAAACATAGATTAGTGTCTACATAATTTCATTTTCACTTTCTTAAGCCTCATTCACTGATTTTTACATAATTGTTAAATGTAATATTTTAATGGGAAATATTTAGTGAAGATAAAAATGTTTTCTCATTTATTGTAAAACTTCTAAAATACATGATTCAAAACCAACCTTGAATTCTGAGTAAAACTTCATGAAACTTCATGAAAGGAAGTACCTCATAACACAGTTGTGGGAATCTTTGTCTCGTGATGTTTTATGTGCTGGTATTTTACACAGATTTAAGAGGGATAGCAGTAGATTACAGAGGAAAAAAGTCCATCAAGGGCAATTGTTTGCTGGTGTCTCTCCTGGGAGAATAGTCTAGAGGAATGTTACTACGTGCTTATCTCTATGCCTGTGTTTTTCCATGTCCACTGGACATTGTCAGAGACAGAATATTTGGATAGATGTATCACTTATTTGATGTTGTTCTATTAAATACTGCAAAAAGAAATAAGTCTGGGCAAATAATTTTATTTTAATAAAATATTTAATGACTTTATTATTCTTGTCCTCAACACTGGAATGACAGCAAGATAGACTCTCCTATCTGCCAGGTTGTGTCTGTCCACAGGGTTCTTGGAAATTCTAAATGATGAGTGTATTAGCATTGTGACTTTTGATAAATTGTATTCATTCCCTAAGAAAGAAGGTGTTGCTAGTATGGATAGATTTATTGCTTTATTTCAGTATCAGCTATAAGTGAGAGAGTTATTAGGACTCTATTGTTAGGCACTGGATAACATCTTTTGTTAAAATTAAGCAGTAGTAGTCAGCATGGTCACTTAACAACAGGGTCACTTGTTCACATCCCAGGAACTGCTTGTTTAACTCATTGCCATTCTCTTCCAGGCATGGTATCGTGGTGAAATTCTAAGGAGACATTCATTGACTCTCCTAAGAGAGAAGGAAGAATTAAGTCCTAGATGCAGTTGTACAGAGTACTGGTAAAACAACAAATCCTGTCAGGTAAGTGCACTTCTTTATTAGAGGAAATACTTAAAATGAGGCAAATTTTTGTATGTTTACTTAAGACAAAAGATACCAACAATGACCTTTATAGATCCTTCTCATGTGCATCTAGGATGGGATGGATATTAGAGACAAACCTATGAGAAACAAGCAAACAGCTGCATCATGAGCTGTGAAGCATTTAGGAAGGGAGCTTAGAAGAGATGGAGAAGAACCTGCTGCTGGAAGAAGCTGTAAGAGACAAAATGCAGCAGTACTCATGACATGAAAGGGAACCCCTTTCTTCCCATTTTAGCAATTCATGAGTTCTTAGTAATAACTCATTCTTTTTGGGATAAAAATCAGATTTGTGGTGATACGTTTTATAAAGCTTGTTAGAACCTGACAAAAAGAAAGTTGACCTTAAGCACCACATGTTGCCAGATGAAAAAAAAAATGCATCTGAGGAGAAGATAGGAATAACAGCTCCTTGCATAGGAAAATCTCAAAGGTTTTACAGATACAAGGTCTCAGTTGAAAAGAACCACAAAGAGGCCAAAAGAGATTCTGCATTAACTATGAATGAGGTGCTCTGGGAGGAAGGAAGTCTGAAGGATGTGTGATGCCTGCAAGGGCTGGCTAGAGGACCCAGTCTCTTACAATAGCTGACAGGAGATGCCTGCTAAGACTGCTCTAACTGGTTCTTTTCAGGTTTTGCATAGTGATTAGAAGGTTGCATTGGCACTTTTTAGATTGTAGCTGGATTTGAGATAAACAAAATGATTGTTTCCAAGCTTGGTAAACCTTTTAAATTCATAAATATTAGTATTCATCTTGCTTCTTTGCCTTGTGCTCTCGCTAGTTTGTTTGCCTATGTGGAACCAACAAACTCTCACTAAAATATACTACCTCAAAAAGTGATTCGGACCAATAGTTGAGCCATAAGGCATGTATCTGAACATTCATGCAAAAAAATGAACAATTCTAGTAAATGAGCTCATGTGTATCATTTGCAATCAATTGTCTTCAGAAGATTTAACAAACAGAAAAATGATACCTTGCATTGTTGAAACTCACTGCATGTTTGTAAAAGTATCTGTGTTATGGTTTTGAGAGGTCTTTCAACATATTCATTAGAAAAATTTATGAAACTTTGGAGGAAAGGTAGATAACATTTCCACACAAGCAAATTAAAACAATTCTGAAGATTCAAAAATTTTATTCAATCCACTGCATTCATAAATATCTAGAATTTGTGTGAGTAGTGTATGATTTCCTTGGGAAGCTTAGTTTTAGTAATGTTGGTAGTGTTTGCTAAGATTACTTATTTGGAGTGATTGTTTAAGCTTGAGAGCAAACTTCTAAAGGAGGTTAAGAAATGTATTAAGTTTCTAGTTGGTAATTCTTTAGAAATTCTGTCTATTCAATGTACACAGAATATAGCTTGATGATCAATCTTGGCTTAAAGCTCTATGCAATTTGCAAAACAAAGAAAGTTTGACCATAAATATCACTGTAGTTTTATAGTTCTACAGGAACTTCATAGTTTCTATTGGAATTTTAACTTGCCAATCTGTTCTATATATGTTTCTGTACCCACAAGAGTAATTGACTTGTGAGTATATATAAAATAATTTATGTGTGAGTTTCTTTAAAGGGTTTTTTTAATTCAAAAGATACCAAAGGTTTTTGTTAAGGAGGTTAAGTGTTATCACTGTCTCTACTTTACAGGTAGAGATATGAAACTAAGAAGTGCTTTGTAGATCTGCTGAAGACTTAAAAGTTGTTCTCAACACTGTTTTGGTGGTAGCTTTCAGAAAAAACTTTAGATAGTATTTGACAAACTGTATCTTCTGAACATTTTTGTCATGGTCTCTTCCAAAATTTGTTATAAGTAAGCAATTTCCTTGGCAAAGTCCTGTCTTTGGAAGAGCAGATCTCTGACGTGTTATCTGGGCTGATGTTACTGGAAGGTTCATTTGGAGGTTTTGTAACCAAACTTAGCGGTGGAAGGAGTGATCTTTCAGTCCATAATGGGGGAGAGGTAACTGGCACCAATAAAATTATAAACAATGTGAACAATTTTAGATTCTGATGCTGAATAAAAACCCTATTTTGAATTTTGCTTACTTTGTGAACAATACATATGTTGCCCAACAATGTATAGACTTGAAAATTATATTTGTATGGATATAGATGCAAATGTGTGCATAAACACACCCTTCTGCATCAATGTACTTTATATTTTATGATCCATCCTTTCCTTTCTCTCTCTGTAGCAAATCTTAATCTACATTTTCCCTCTTTTCTCTTCCTTGACTTCAATTTTAAAGGAGCCCCCGTGGCCATGGGTTTTGCTTTTACAGCACTACTTATATTGCCAACTGCAGTTAAGTTATGTTTATATGTAAAGCTTAATTAAGACTAGCAAAAAAATTGTATAAGAAATAGAAAAAAAAATCCTCATTGCTTTTCTTATATAATAAGAAGTAAAAGAAAGTTTTGTTTCCATGTGATGACTATGGAGCTGTAGAATCTGCAGCCTCTATAGTGATAAGATTAAAAATCTATACATTCTGACTGCCCTTCGGAACAGTTGCAGTTTGTTCTGGTGACATCCCATCTGGGAGATACGAGTTAGGTACTAGCTACTCACAAATAGAAATGAGCTTTCACACAGGCATGTATAGATTATAGGCTGGACTGCTAAAGCATTCTCAATATAGCATCCACAAGCTAGTGGGGAATTACTGTTCTAAGTCACCTTTTCTCACCCGTCTTGAACTTGATCCACATCTATTTGAATCATTTCTTGTTAAGCTTAGATCAAGAGGTAAAATGGTCTTCACCGAAAATGTTCTGCCAGGCAGTGATTTCTGGAATACAAACCCCTTGCCCTGATTCAAAGTCCTGAAGAATGTAAGAGGTCGGTTTAGAGGTAATAAAATCTTCAAACTCTTGGCTGTTGTGAGGAAATTCTTTTTTCCACTGTGGCAGTTGTCTAGCTACTCTGTGTTGCTCCATCCAGCTGAAAAGCAGCATGGAATATTGTATATTAGAGTACATTATGCTCTTGAGAAAATTATGTTCTAGCTTAAATCCAAAACAAAGGGACATTTTGAAATATAGTCATGAAATTGTGTACCAGGTTTATGTGCACAAATCTTCATAACAAACAGCAAATGGGGAAATTAGTCATAAAAATCCCATTTACCAATAACAAAGTTTGTGCCTGCAAACTGCAGAGCACCACTTAGAATATGGCCAATATAATAAAAAGGGACTAATCGGATTTAATGGAAGCAGTGGTAATCAGTTTTTTCTAGTAAACTTTTGTAAGGAATGAATGTTTGTGCTCATGTTCAGAGTTCAGTGAGTATTTTTGTGATATCATAGTCTCATTTCTAGCAAAGTTGTGTTCAGCTGGGCCCAATTTCTCTGCTTCATTGAAAAAAATACAACAATCAAAAGAGCATTGAGTGACACAAAGCACGAGGACATTTCAGAAGTCTAGCAGGTGAACTTTAGTAATTGACTGTAATTATAAACCTTTGGGCTGAATTTCTTTTAAGCTTCAGCTGGATTTTGCCATCATTTTCATTAGCTTAATGGGAAGAATGTACAGTAGAAAGGCTGTTTACGGGTAAATAGAAAGGACATGTTTCCCATGGATCAGTCTTCTCTATGGAAATGTATGTTTTACTAAATTTTACTTATTTTTTATATCAAACATTTGTCAGTGTGGCTCTGAGGAAAATTAGTTTGGGCAGAAGTTAATTTTTAAAAAAATGTAGATTTTAAAACAGCAAGTGGCGTTTATAGGATTTTCAGATTAGATTGCACGTAATTAACAGTGTCCTTTAAATTGACAATTTAGGATGATTCTTATTTTCAATGATCTTTCACATTTAAGCCATTTCTTTAATGGTCTGAGTTGCAGTTTAAAAATAGAAAGCCTATGCATGTGCTTCTGCTTGCTAGGGTACTGCAAACTTGATTTCTGAGGTTGCTGACAGCTTCTGAAAGATTTAGGAACTGTCAGCAGGAAACATTCCCATAGAATCTGTACTGTGAACTTTTTCTGGAAAAACAGCATCATTTAGCAGGTAATATATCTGCAATAAAAGCATAGTTATGCAATAATGGCTCATTAATATAGCAAATCATAACATGATCTTTTCTGCTCAATTTTAAAAGGAACTTGTGGAGAGAATAAGCTCCTACTCAGCTGGTTGGTTAACTTGGTTGTTTTATATATTTTTGGTATTTAAACTTTGAAATATAAACTTTGATTTTTATGGCAGATAACATTTAGTCATGACATTCTATTTCTGAATAAACAAATGTCAGTTTGAACCTAGGTTAGTACAATAGGATATTTTTTTATTTTTGCTCTTTTTTGAATATGCTAGGATACTGCTGCTGTACTTTGTTTGGTATGTAACTGCTAATTTATCCTTTACATCTTTACAATCTTGCCAGTGCTTCAAGTTTTCCTTAGTTTTTCTAATCTAAAATAATCCCAGTGAAATCCTTTGATTGTCTGTTTGGACCTGATCCACTTCTAAAGCATGAGTGTAATGGACTTTATGGCACTTACTTGGAAGTAATTTATCCAACAGAGTGAATATAGATACTTGTTTTAATAAGAATATGCTTTATGGTAAGTGGGGACGGCTATTTAATTAGCTAAAGGGAAAGCAGTTCATGATACAATCTGTTCCAATCATCTTAGACATTAAACAAAAAGTCAGACCAAGTTATTTATGTACATACACTTTATTTGCAGTTCCTTTGTGTAACCTCTTGGTAGAATATAGCATTATCTGGATTAAAAAAAAAAAAAAAAAAAAAAAAAAGTATGTATTTCTTTAAACGAAAAAAAAGTAAGCAAAAGTTTTACTTACTGAAGTCTGGCCTTCAAGTGCATACATGGAGCTTGCTCTGAAAGTAATGCCTCCCATTTATTTCCTCAAAACTACCATAGATACAAAAAATAGAATAACCACAATAACACT